GCCACCATACCCAATCTATGTCATCATTTTCAGTGTAAGTAGTTGTCTAACACAAAGTAACACGTGTTCAAAAGAATAGAGTAGGGTTGCTTGATCTCCTGTGTTTTCTTAGAGTCCTACTGTTTTCTTTCTGTGTTCAGAGCAAGTTCTGATTTGGACACAAAGCATGGCTTCTGGGGCTGTCAGTGCTGCCACGCACTTGGTCGTGGGCTTACCATGCTTACTGTGCTGGCTTTGAGTCTCGCTGATTCCCATGCATCGTGGGTCCTTGGAATTCTGTGCTCATGGGGATCCCCAACATGACCTGTGCGTGGGACAGCAGGGAAGGAGGACATGTGCACTGCATAGCTCCCCTCTGTTCACCTGCATCTCTACTGTCCCACAGGACTTTACTCATAAAACACAAGTTCACAGGTAAGATTAAGAATGTTAAGATGGTGATGGCAGAGCACTAAGCCAAGGGTGGGTCCTTCTAGGCACAAGGCCCTGTGCAGCGTGACAGGTTGGCCACCATGAAGTGGACTCTGCCGATCTGGATGTGAAATCAGGAGGGCTGAGGGGTCTTGAAACATGAGATGAGCTGCCTAAGGCCAAAACCAATTCTCTGAGGATGGTAGAGCCAAGAGCTGGAAGGCATTTATGATAACAACGCTGAACCACTGGTTTTCATTTCCTTGGAACTTGCTGAACTTGTTATCTGAGATTAGAATATCCTTCTTTTTAAAGGTGGTTTGAGCTGAGTGTCTGTTACTTGCAGGTGAAAGCTTTCCGACGTATACAGAGGTCGTCTTGCCCATAATGAGTGAAGGCCATCCTACTTTACCTTTATTTTCCTTACCAGGCTCCATCTCCGTAGCCTGCTTTTCACAAAGGTGGATACATAATTCTAGGGGCCACCTAGCTGGTTCTAATAAGACTCTGGAAGTCAAAAGCTAAAGAAGACCAGGAGACCAAGCTGGAAATCAGGCTCTTCAATCAGATTCCAGAGGAAATGCCACTCCACCCAATCACCTAGCCACAACAGTTCCCTTCCTTCAAGATGCTGCGTTTACATGCACTGCCTCTTTAGGCAAATGGATCACCTTGTAAGAGTGACCTGTGACCTGAAAAAGCATTAGCCCAGTCACACCCAGGCTTCATTGAGCCATTTGAGTCTCACTGCCTCTCTGTGTTAGTTCCTCTTGCTTTCAGCTAAAGGGTCCTTCTGTTTAGGTGGTGAAAAAAATGATCGTTAAAAACAATTAATAAACCCAGGGACCTCTGATATTATGAGCCCAGCCAGAGATCTGTGTCAAGCAAATCCTTGCAGACAGTTCTGCCAGCCTGCAGATGTCTGTTTGCCTCTCGTGGATTTGATAAGTGCTCATTTATGCCAAGGTGGCTGTAATCATAGTACAGAGGCCTCTGGGAGATATTGTTCACGCTGACCTTACAAACGGAAAACCATTATCTTTTCCTTACCTGAGATCCTGGGGAGTAGTCAGCTCACTCCCTGCCAATGGCCTAAGATGGTTGCTGATGTCACGGTTGAGGAATATCTAGGAGTAATAAACATAAGTAGCTGGAAAATGCCAATTCTGACAATTTGACAACATCATTATCAACATTCTTAAGTACTTACAAGTCTTTTCTTTTCTTTTTTTTTGGAGACAGAGTCTCACTCTGTTGCACAGACTGAAGTGCAGTGGCATGATCTCGGCTCACTACAAGCTTTACCTTCTGGGTTCAAGCGATTTTCCTGCCTCAGCCTCCTGAGTAGCTGGGATTACAGGCACACAGTATGGTGCCTGGCTAATTTTTACATTTTCAGTGGAGAAGGGGTTTCACCATGTTGGCCAAGCTGGTCTCGAACTCCTGACCTCAGGTGATCTGCCTGCCTCAGTCTCCCAAAGTGTTGGGATTACAGGCATGAGCCACCATGCCTGGCCATGCAATACTTAGAGTCACAGTAGTTTGTGGTTAGAGAATTCTCACAGAGGTGACCTGGTTCAGCCCTACCATCAAGGTCATTGAGACACTGGCACCTTGCCCAAGGTCATGCCAACCTGGGATTAGGCGTTTCCTGCCCGATGCCCTTTCCCCACTTCCCACACCTATTGTTCATACTAATTTATTGCAGGTCTTATTTCTATAGTCTCCTTTAATTGCTTTATGTTCACGGGATACTCTCTTCAGGATAAGATTGCAGGTATTTTTTTTATATTACTTCCCCTTGTCCCTGATGCTGTAGGGTTTCGAGCTGAAACCAGTCAAAAAGGACTTCCTGCTGAGTGACTTTTGCCCAGGCAGCAGGGCTGAGGAGCTGGGGACAGAGAGACCCTGGCTGTATTCTTCTGATATGTGTTACACATCAGGCTTGAGTTAATTTGGTCGGGTTCAATAATGCACTGCAGTTACTCTGTACATACCTGGAATCATGGAGGGTCAGGTCTGGAAGGAGATTTAAAGACAACGTGGTCTTATGGTTCTCTAACTGTGCTCCAAGGAACCCTAGGGGCTCCTGTGTGGGAGTCGGGGGGTGCCTTCTGTTCAACCTCTAAAAGCAGGTGGGCTGGAGAGCTGAGCTGACTTAGGCCTAGGCCTTGGCCCCTTTTCTTGAGATATTTTATTTAATGGTGCGGCTGTATCAGATTTCTTGTAAACAAAGGGCTTGGATGATAGAGCATTGTTGACAGCTATGAATCCAGTCCAGCTCTTTCATTTTCACTATGAGAAAATGAGGCTTGGAATGAGGGAAAAGGGACTGGATGACTGCGTGCAGAGCTGCACACCTAGCTAGTGACAGGAGCCAGGATGGAAACTCCTTGCAGATGCCCCCTCCATACCTTGCAGAGATGGCCTGGTCCCTCCAAGAAGCTGTGTTTTTGGCTTGATTGAGAGGTTGAAGTACAGAAACCAACTCTATGGTGGCTGCTCATCTGGGAAAAGAAAGGGACAAAATCTACACTTACTGAGTGACTACCGTGTCACAGACACGGAAAATACATTCACTCATTTGGAGCGGGTTTGTGGAGCGCCTCCTGCATAGCAGATGCTGCCTTGCCTGTCATGGGTCCTCTTTCCTATAAACCTCCCAACAAGCCTGCAGGGGAAGCTCTCACATGCTCCAGAGCTGAAGGCTCTCAGGGTTACGCACCTCGCTCACCAGTGGCTGTTCACCATATCTGAACTGACACCCTTTGAACTCCAAATCTGCTGTCCCACATCACATCCTAATATGCTTTTAATTTTTTTTTTTAATGTCTCCAGAAGTCAGCGGCTGTCAATTGCATATGAGCTTTCCAAAGACTTGAAACTCGGTTTAAAAAAAAGAAATGCGAGTTTCCCTTTATCTGTTTGGAAAATGGCCGGGCGGGGAGTGGGCCCTCGGTGCCTGTTCTCCTGGGGAGATCGTCTTCGGTCAGCAGAGCTCCCTTAGAGTCCTAATCTGTTTCCTGATTTGGGCTTTCATGACTGACACACATGCAGCTTTACCCTTGTCTCCTGTTCACGGGGAAAATTCTGCTCGTCTTGCCGCTCAGCTGCAGGGCGGGTCTGGGAGCAGCTGTCCCTCGGGGAGATGGGTGAGGCCATCTGAATGCCAGCGATGGAAAGATAGCAAACTGTGGTGGAGGGAGAAACTGTTAACGTGCACGAGGGCATCAGCCTTCAGTGGTGCAAGAAGTTTTCAACTGTCCTTGTCTTTCAAAAGACACTGTGTCTCAACAGAGTGTCAGCAACTTCTGAAGCCATTTCAGGCTGTATTTGTTAATCACATTTTAGAATTCTGCCTGGGTGGGCTCTGCCCAGCTTCTAGTGGTGTAAATATTAGAAATGAGACTGATGTGGGTGCTGGGAGGGGAAGGAATTATGGAAAGACAACATGAAGGGAAGTTCAGGGGGGGTTTGAGGCAAGCTGTGTAGGATCTGGTTCAATTGTTCTGTCTCATACTGGGAATATGATGGCTATCATTCCTTGGAAAATGTGCATTTTCAGCATTAGTACACAGGATTTTTTTTTCCCTTGCTCTTAGAGTGTGTTGTTAAAAGTTAGCGGTAGTGATGGTTTTATTTATTTTAAAAATTTTTTAAGGTTTTTTTTTGTTGTTGTTGTTTTGTTTTTTTGTACAGATGAGGTCTCCTTATGATGCCTAGGCTGGTCTTGAACTCCTGGGCTCAAGCAGTCTTCCCACCTCAGCCTTCCAAAGTGCTGGAACTACAGGTGTGAGCCACTGCACCCAGCTTCATTTTTATGTTATTAATTGAAGAGTATCTTCTCCCCCACTAAAAAGTGGTCATTTTCCAGACTACCTTTAAAGAAGAATGAAACACCTTCCTCTTCCAGGCAGCTAAATCTAAATATTATATACTTTTTTAAAGCAACTCCATAGCAAAGATGTGGCAACTGCGGGTGAAGTATCTCTGAGCAGGAGATCAATGCAAAAATGCAACTGGGGAGGGAGCTCGGGGGCCAGTTTCAGGGAGGTTGGAACTGCTGTGTTCTCATCAGCAGAAGTGGCTCCTGCCCACCCCCCATCCCAATCCCTTCTCATGTGGGACAGGGTCTGTGAGCACCCTCCCTACCGGGTAGGTTCTATGGCAATGTGGGCACATACCCTGGGGCGGGGGGCCGAGGGACTTACTTCGTGAGCGCCAGTGTAGTAGTGAAGGGAATGCCTGATGAAAACAACATTCTACCAGTATGCGCTGCTTTCTAACCTACAAAGTGCTTCTGTGTACACTGTTCCATTTGAGAATTCTTTTTTTTTTTTTTTTTTTGAGACGGAGTCTCGCTTTGTCGCCCAGGCTGGAGTGCAGTGGCTGGATCTCAGCTCACTGCAAGCTCCGCCTCCCGGGTTCACGCCATTCTCCTGCCTCAGCCTCCCGAGTAGCTGGGACTACAGGCGCCCGCCACCTCGCCCGGCTAGTTTTTTTTTGTATTTTTTTAGTAGAGACGGGGTTTCACCGGGTTAGCAAGGATGGTCTCGATCTCCTGACCTCGTGATCCGCCCGTCTCGGCCTCCCAAAGTGCTGGGATTACAGGCTTGAGCCACCGCGCCCGGCCTCCATTTGAGAATTCTAAGTAGAATCCTGAACAGGCTGGAGCAGATCGCCCACTCCAAGGGACAGATGTTGGCTGGTACTATTGGTATTCATGGAAGATTCCTTCTGACACTCCCTCCTTTTCTGCAATTGCCATGAACTTGAGCACTGGGCCAACATAAATCATCCAAGGATGAACACGCTGCACACGGACGGCTCCCCTTTGTTTGGTTTTGAAGGGATTCCATCTCTATTCTCTTGCCATGTGCTCCTTCACCCCCCTCTCTGCCCCCGTCTTTCATTTCTTTCTCTCTGGAAAAGATATTTCAACTCACAGGACTGGGATGTTGAAACGGACACCCAAGAGTATCACAGATGGGCCAGGCCTGGGCCTCTTGGGACAACATTCCTCACGACTTTTAGAAGAGATTAGGGATTTGGGACTGGTGGCAACTGGTAACATTTTCAGTGTTTGGTGAACAGCCAGGGTCCCGAGCTCTGGGAACAGCCTGATTTAGCTCTTTGTTTAAGTTTTGGGTTAGAGGCTCCCAAGAAGCTGGTGCAGGGGAAAGAAATTAACAACCATGGCTCATTCACAGCCAGGCAGCCAAATGGACAGCTCTATAAGACTCAAGCCGACAGCGGAGAGAGCGCAATCGAACAGCCTTGGCGCAGCTTTCAGAGGAGAACGTTATTCACCCCAACTGCTCTGCATCTGCCTGGACGTCTGCCAAGATCTGTGAGCACTACAGCGTTGGTATGCTTTGGGTGAGGCCCGTGGCCATGGCAACGAGTTGGGAGCAACCCGGTCCCTGGGAATGAGAACAGTGGCTAAAATCAGGCAGGCGAGGGGTAGGGAGGAGAGGTAAAGGTTGGACTTGCCTGAAGATGGAGCCGTTTTATTGTTGTGGGTAAAGCTGCTACCGTCAGGGGCTGTTTACAGAGTGGGTGCAGCTCAAGCTGGGAGCATGTTAGACTCAGCGACTGCAATCAACCTATTGACTTGTTCCCATGAGGCAGAGTAGATGAACTGCTGCAGTACTGGTCAGGTACCACCAGCCTCCTGTGAACCAGCCCTCATTGAAACATTGATGTGAAAGGCCATGGTGTTCCCGTAAGAGGATGCCTGTTATCTCCCTTGACTAACTCTTCAATATGCCTCATTCTCACACGCTGGTGTGCAGGAAAGAGTCCAGCATACCCCATTGGCAGAGATGCTCTGTATGTGCAAAGTGTTCGAGTAGAGCACTGGGCTCAGGTTTGAAGATGTGAGTTCTAATGCCAGCAAGGCCATTACCTCCCAGTGACCTCATGTCTCGATTTCCTCAACCACAAAACAAAGGCATTGGTGAGGTGACCTCCAAGGCCCCTCCGGTTCTCACCTTCTGTGTCTCTACAGACTGGAGAGTAGAAGATGATGAGGCACTTTTATTAGTTGAGTCTTCTTCATTTTCTGTTTCCATTTCTTTGAAGTCATCAGCTGGAGTTGAGGACAAGTTTTAACAATAGATAGGTTTCTTTTCTTTTTGTCTCTTTTTTTAAAAAAAATTTTACTTAAAAAAATAAAGGCCGAGCATAGTGGCTCATACCTGTAATCCCAGCACTTTGGGAGGCCAAGGTGGGAGGATAGATTTTGAGTTTGAGACCAGCCTGGGCAACATAGGGAGACTCTGTCTGTACAAAAATTTTAAATTAGCTAGGCATGGTGGTGTGTGCCTGTAGTCCTAGCTACTCTGGAGGCAAAGGCAGGAGGATTGCTTGAACCTGGGAGGTTGAGACCACAGCGAGTTATGATTGTGATACTGAACTCTAGCTTGGGCAACAGAGCAAGACCCTGTCTCTTAAAAAAAAAAAAAAGACTATTTTTTAAGAACAGTTTTAGGTTCACAGCGAAATTAGGAGGAAGGTACAGAGATATGTCACATGCCCCCTGCCCCATGCATGCACAGCTTCTCCCATTAGCAATGTCCCCACTCAAATGGTGCCTTTGTTATAATCAATGACCCTCTACTGACACATCATCATCATCCAAAGTCCATAGTTTACGTTAGGGTTCACTGTTGGTGATGTACATTCCATGGGCTTGAACAAATGAATAATGACATTATCCACCACTGCAGGATCATACAGAGTAGTCTCACTGCCCTAAACATCCTCTGTGCTCCACCTGTTTGCCCCTCCCTGCACTCTAACTCCTGGCAACAACTGATCTTTTTACTGCCTCGATAGCTTTGCCTTCTTCGGAATGTCATGTAGTTGAAATCATACATCATGAAGCCTTTTCAGATTGGCTTCATATCGTTTTCTTTTATTTCCTTCCTTCTTCCTCCCACCACCTTTCCTTCTATCCTTTCTGTATTCCTAACTCTTGGATGTATTTTCCAGCATCATGACTTGATGGGACTTTTGCTAAGGTAGGCAATCATAAAAAGTCACAAATCTTTTGTCAGCCTTATTGCCTCACCTCTGAGATGGTCCCAACACTCTTTAAGTCTCACTTTTCCAATCCACAGATTCCCCAGCAGAAGTCCAAGCTGCTGAGCCTCACATCTTCTTTTCCACTAGTGATCTTTACCACTACTTCACTGGAGTATTGCAGCATTTGAAAATCTTCATATGAAGCCATAGGTCTGGGTTTTTTTTTTTTTTTTTTTTTTTTTTTTTTTTGAGACGGAGTCTTGTCCTGTTGCCCAGGCTGGAGTGCAGTGGTGCAATCTCAGCTCACTGCAAGCTCCACCTCACGGGTTCAAGTGATTCTCTTGCCTCAGCTTCCCAAATAGCTGGGATTACAGGTGTGCCACCAGGCCCAGCTAAACTTTTTGGCATTTTTAATAGAGATGGGGTTTTACCATGTTGGCCAGGCTGGTCTGAAACTCCTGACCTCAGGTGATCCGCCCACCTCGGCCTCCCAAAGTGCTGGGATTAAAGGTGTGAGCCACTGTACCTGGCCTGAAGCCATAGTTCTTAACCTCAGTTGTGCAATAGAATTATCTGGGGAATTTAAAAATTAGAAAAAACCTACACCTGAAGATTGTGATCTAATTGGTCTTGCGTAGGGCCTGGGCACTGGTATTTTTTAAATGTTTCCCAAGTGATGCTAATGTAGCCATTCTGCAAGCCACAGTTGAAAGGCTTATTCAAGCATCCTGTTGCTGAATGCATGTCATCCTTACCATTTGACTCTGGAGGTTGTTTTCTCGTCTTCTGATGTGGCTGCCCTGTTGAGGCGTGCCCCTTAGTTTGGAGATTACTCCCTGCGGTAGGTCGCTTGGAATATGATCCCCAGTGATCCCTGCTTCCTGGTATTCTGGCCCTGGTGTGATTCCCTTCCCTTTAAGCCTGGACAGGATTAGGGACTTGCTTCTAACCAACAGCATATGGCAAAAATAAATGTTTATTGTTTTAAACTTCTATGTTTTAGGGTCATTTATTTACACAGCAAAGATAACGAATGCACTTCTCAAAGAAGAGATGGCTCCTTAGGAACACGCTCCTGCGGGGGCCAGACCTTCTGTTGATTTTGAAGAATGGAGGGTCTAAGAGTGTGTCCCCAGGGGAAGTATTAGGCAAGGCCCAGATTGCTGGGGTTGGAAAGGCAGGTGACAAATAAGCGGACTCTTGCTGGCTAGACTGGTGCCTCTCCTATGCACCCAGACATGGGAGAGCCTGGGCAGTCCTGCTAAGATGTGGATTCTGGTTCAGCAGGTCTCGGTTGTTGTTCAGGAATTATACAAGCTCCCAGGGGGTGCTGATGCTGCTGGTCTGGGGACCATATGTTAGGGGATAAGGAACTGTTCTAATTGAATTCATGTTTCTTTCTATGCTTACTTCCTTTTTAAATACAGCAGTCTTCTTTATTCCACCAATGACTTCGCTCGCGGTGCTTCCAGAAGCCAAGGAAGTGGGCTTTGCCCTTGGGGATTTAGGAGGCAGAGCGGCGCCCCCTGGAGGCCACATGGTGGAGGTGGCTATGAGGCCTGGAGTCTACAGTTTAGATTGAATCACAGGAAGAAGCTATTTACACAAGTCAAACATGTTTCAATGTTGGCAATTTCATAAGATTCCAATCCTTAAGGAATCAAAGCCTGGTCACCTGCTTCCACCGAGAGGTGTACCTTTCCATGCCAGGCTTGGAGCGTCCCTCTTTATTTAAAAAGGAGAGGATTCCGAAGCAGAACTTCTCAAGCTCTTCCACCCAAATCCCCTCACCACAGGGACGGAAGTCCTGGGCATGCAGCCTAAAGCAGCCAGGAGAAAAACTTTGACCTTAATTTTTTTAAATGATTTCACATGAATCAATGGAATGTGTTTATGATAAAATCATCTCCTCCTGAAATATATGTGTAAAACTCCTGCCCCAGTTAAATGCACTTAGTGTAACCGAGCCCTAGGATTGGCCTCTCCAGCGTGAGAAGCATTGCCAGCACTCCAGCTCCCCAGGTCCCACTCTGGGATCCCACCTCCTCAGATCCTCCCACTTCCTCACACTCTCTGGCCTCTCGCTTTTGACCCTGCTCCCACCACGCTTCCTTTCCTCAGAGTCTATCAGTCCTCTCTTGTCTTCACCTTGGTCTCTGCCAAGTGTGGGTCCAAGTCACACATGTGGACTCTGATCACAGGAACTCCAAGCTCCAGACCTCCCAAAGCACCCTATGGAGAGACCTTACCTTCTTGGACAGACCCTCTCCCCACAGCTAGATCTCACCCTCTGGGTAGACCCATCTCCCCAACTAGAACTCACCCTCCTGAGTAGACCCCATCCCCCCAGCTAGATCTCATCCTCCTGAACAGATCCCATCACCCCAGCTAGATCTCACCCTCTTGGGTAGACCCATCTCCCCAACCAGAACTCACCCTCCTGGGTAGACCCTTCTCCCCAGCTAGACCTCATCTTCTGGGTAGACCCCATCCTCCCAGTTAGACCTCACCCCTCTGGGTAGACCCCATCCCCCAGCTAGACCTCACCCCTCTGGGTAGAGCCCAACCCCCCAGCTAGACCTCACCCTCCTGGGTAGAGCCCAACCCCCCAGCTAGACCTCACCCTCCTGGGTAGACCCCAACCCCCCAGCTAGACCTCACCCTCCTGGGTAGACCCCATCCCCCCGGCTAGACCTCACCCTCCTGGGTAGACCCCATCCCCCCAGCTAGACCTCACCCTCCTGGGTAGACCCCATCCCCCCAGCTAGACCTCACCCTCCTGGGTAGACCCCATCCCCCCAGCTAGACCTCACCCTCCTGGGTAGACCCCATCCCCCCAGCTAGACCTCACCCTCCTGAGTAAACCCCATTCCTCCAGCTAGACCTCACCCTCCTGGGTAGACCCCATCCCCCCAGCTAGACCTCACCCTCCTGAGTAAACCCCATCCCCCCAGCTAGACCTCACCCTCCTGAGTAAACCCCATTCCTCCAGCTAGACCTCACCCTCCTGAGTAAACCCCATTCCTCCAGCTAGACCTCACACTCCTGGATGGACTCGACCCTCCTGGAGATACCTTTCCCTCCTGGGTAGACCCCAGTGGCTACACACCCCTCCTTCCACCAGCTTTCTCCCCCAGGGTTCTAGGCAGCAGAGTGTCTCTGTGAAAAGGATACTAAGTGATTCCCCAATATTTCTGTTTCCAGCCTCTGGTTGGCTCTCCCTGGGGCTAATGGTTCTTTCACTCACTATTTCTCCAGGCTTTCCCTGATGACAAGTATATTCTGAGACTGTTCTAATGATATAGATTTTGGACCCCATCCCAGTTCTACTGAATCCGAGTCTCTGGGGGAGGAGTTGGGGCTCTGCATCTGGACACTTCCTGCAGGGCCCCTCCTGGGAGGCAAGCCCGAGGAGCACCGCTGAGGCTCACCTCAGTGCCCATCCTAGACCTTCAGCAGCCAGCAGAAGATGTCTCCGCCGTCCCTCAGCCCTGATTCCCACTGTCACCCCAGCCGGGCTTGGCACTGCCTCCTTTCTCACTCAGAAGATTAAGGCCATCTGTTCTGTGCTTCCCAAGTTTCCCACCCTCCACCCTAAAAATTTCTCCCTGTTTCCCAGTCTTTCCTCTTCTCTTAGAAAATAAACGTCTTCCCAGGCTGCCTCTCCGGTGGGTCTGGGCTCCTCCTTGCTGTCTCCCCAGCACCTGGCCTTTCCAGCCCCCCCCTCGGTATGTCCAGTGTTTCCCTCACCAAAGGACTTGTTTTGTTTTTCAAATTGGAGGTTTTGTCTTCTCCTCCCTAAAAACCAAAACATCTCCCTGAGAAGTAACTCCATCAAGCTACCGATAGGGAAGGCGGGCAGGGAAGTGCTGGGAAGGGAAGGGTGTGGTCCCTGGCTAGGGCTCCACCCCGGGGCCTGTACCCACAGACCTAGGTGAGGACAGGCATTTCTGTTTTCGTGCCTAAACGTTGCATTTCCCAAGACTACCCTGGCCTGCCACACCCTCATCCTGTGCCTACAAAAATCCCGAGAGCCCCGCAGGCATGCACACAAGCCTCTGGACGTCAACAGGAACACACCGGTGTAAGAGCACACTGATAGAGGCCCGTGGCAGGCTGGCAGGCCATCGACAGGCAGAACCACTCGGTGCAGTTGGAGGAGATCTCGGCCACTGAGCGGTCCGACTTCAGAGGGGAAAACCACCTTCCCACTCCATCTCCCTTCTGGCTCCCCCATCTGCTGAGAGCTACTTCCACACAATAAAACTTTGCAGTCATTCTGCAAGCCCATGCGTGATCTGATTCTTTTGGTACACCAAGGCAAGAAACCCTGGGATACAGAAAGCCTCTGTCCTTGGAAAAAGGCACGAGGTCTAACTGAGCTGACTAGGAATGGCTCAACTGAAACAGCACCCTGTAACACAGGCGCACTGGGGCCTCAGGAGCTGTAAACATTCACCCTTAGACATTGCCGTGGGGTCAGAGCCCCACAACCTGCCCATCTGCATGCTCCCCCTACAGATTTGAGCAGCAGGGCACAGAAGAAGCCAGCCACACTCCCATCACAAGCCCTGCCAGGAGGATAAGGGAACTTCTCCCGTTTCACCCTGCCTTCCTGTCACTCCACTCGTTTCATCTCGGTGTATGTGTCTGGTCTTCCTCAATTCCTTCTCTGGCCTCACACAGTGCCCTGAATAATGCTTTGCAAGGCCTTTGCCAGGAGCCTAGGTGAAAGGCAGAAGATGTGCCCCTGCAGCATCGCAAGGTAGAGATGGTGGTTACAAGAGGAGGACTAGATTCCCAGTTTGCCCTTGGAATGGGCAGCCCCTTGGATTTTGTTTTCCCTGATACTGCTGTTCTGATCCAAGGCCTTGGGGCCTCAATACAGACACCCAAGGCCAGGCCTATCTTTGCATGAACAACTAAAGAAAGCCCAGAGGATGACTAAAATGACCACACTATATGGCTCTGGAGGACCGGAAGTTACTGAGGCCTATGAGTGGGTTTTTGCACAGACTGCAGTAAAGGTCCTCAGAGAAGACCCTCAAGAGCTACAGGGGGGTCTAAGTTAAATGCCACCTCTAGACTGGGCCCCAAAACTGGTGCTGATTATTTTTACTCCTACCCCACCCACCAGCCTGATAGGCGATTCCTGAAGTAGCAGTGGGGCTCTCAGTGGTGCTCACTAGGCCCAGAGCTCAGTACTTCCCCATTCTGCTTGATGGGGCTTATGTAACCAAGGATGACAGATGGGACAATCCCTGTTGGTGAAGACTCTGAGTTGATTCTGACCAGGACCAGGGATAAAACCCAGCGCCTTTATCTTTCCCCTTTGTACCATCTTCAGAAAGACCTCCTTTTGTAGCAGTTCTTGAACTGTGATCTGTGAGGTGCGGTTGCGAGAATCCTTTTTTTTTTTTTTTTTTGAGACAAAGTCTCACTCTGTCACCCAGGCTGGAGTGCAATGCTGTGATCTCAGCTCACTGCAACTTCTGCCTCCCGGGTTCAAGAGATTCTCCTGCCTCAGCCTCCTGAGTAGATGGGATTACAGGAGCATGCCTCCACGCTCAGCTAATTTTTGTATTTTTAGTAGAGACGGGGTTTCACCATGTTGGTCAGGCTAGTCTCAAACTCCTGACCTCATGATACACCCGCCTTGGTCTCCCAAAGTGCTGGGATTACAGGCATAAGCCACCATGCCTGGCCCGGCGAGAATTCTTTTATAAAAAGTTCTGGGTTTATAAAACTGATTCTTCAACTAGAACAGGCACACAGGAAAAAGGTTGACTAAAAACCCTTTTCTCTTGCCTCATTTTGGTGATTTCCAACTAGGCTGTTGGGATAGGCAGACCTAAGTGCCACTTCCATCTTTCCATAGGTATCTTGAAGAATCTTTGACCAATGGAGAGCTAATCAAAGACAACTTTAATAGGAGAAGAAAATACTTGGATTGGGAGTATGGCTGAAAAGTCCCACTGAACAAGGCCCTCAAGTGGAGTTCCTGTGGAGTGGTCACCTTTCTGATGACTTCAACTGGGAACGTCAGCACGGAACTATTGCTGGGTGTTCATTCCATCACCCCTTCCTATGTCCCTGCTCAGGACACCCTGCATCTGTCTATATGCATTGCTACTGATTTAGACAGTGAGTTACATTTAGTGCATTTTTGCATTGTTCTTTATTGTATCCATGGTATCTAGCACAATTCTGGTTCTTATTACAGCTTGGTAAATGTCATTGATTAATCCAGGGCAGATTATCTCTCTATTTAAATTTGTGAATCCTCTGTGTAAACAATTTGATTAAAAATTTATGACAAAATTCATGAGGCCTGGTGATGTATAGATTGATCAACTGATTTAGAGTTATAGGTGGACAAGATGCATTTACATATTTACGTAGTGTCTTTTCAGTGTGAAGTTTCTTCTTAGTGGCAAAAGTTCTGGCTACTTGTATTTCTCTCATGAAACATGATTATTACAGGCAGTGCCATGGCTCTTCTTCACTTTTTTGTATTGAAGCAACACAGATCATACCCCTGTAGTTCCCTGATACCATGTGTTTAATAGTAGTTACATCATCACTCAAGAGGCTGCCTTGTCCAGCGTATGTCTTGCATACTGGCTTCTACTGACCCTCTGAAAGCTGTTACTGTGCTTTCCATTGGCGATGATCACAATTGCAAATCTTATCCAGAGCATGCAGGAAAATGTGAACAGTAATTCATCTTCTGGTCATGAAATGCACTGTTCAGAAATTTATGATGTAAAGGTAGAAGAACACATCTTCCAACCACATTTTCTCTTCACTCTTTAGACTGGCATCCTGTGTTTTCGGACAGTTGACTCCATGCCTGCCTAACACAGAAAGTTAACTCTTTCTGTGTTAACTCCATGCCTGCCTTCTACACTCCATCACCAAAGGAAAGGACAGGCCAGAGGCCCTGGGTGGAGCAACTAGAGGAGTCCAATTCAGCAAGGAATGTTCATCCCTCCTCTGGCACAGCCTAAGCCCTGAGAGAGCACAATGTCATCACATCCACTGGAATCAAGAGCATATCTGGTGGGAACTTGGAGTAATGTCTCACAAGCCCTGGGTACTACCTGACACATGGCACAGAGCCTACAGAGGGGGTGACAGTGCCATTGATGGGGCACAGGGTAAAGGATGCTTGCCATTCCCTCTGCCTCACTGTTTTTGGGTGCTGCAGACCAGAGCTGCCACTAAGTAGGAACACAGAGGAAGGAGAGCTGCTGTGAGGGCCACTGATGTTGCTGAAGATGAGGGTCTGGGATAGATCATCTTTAGCCCAGGATACTGTGCTCATCCAGTCCCCGATGTGAGTGAGTCACCCCAGATCAGTGTGTCAGCACTCCAATATGGCCATACATATGAGCTGGGGCAGAAGCCCTAGTTTGGCCATGGTGGGTGACATGGGGTCTGGGCTACCAGCTTATGTGGATTACTCATGCATCTCCTCCGGTCCTGCCTAGGTTTGATCTTAGATACACGATTTCCATCCTATGATGCATCTTGTCCCACTGCTGACACCTACAACCTCATGAGGTCCACCAGATAACATGCCTCCAGTGGCAGGTGTGCTTGCACTACAGTTTGGACCTGTTGCAGAGCTCTTTCCTACTTCAGCTCCACTCAAGAGTCAGCACCCTTTTGTGTCATCCAGTATAGGGGCTGAAGCAGCATTCCTAGGTATGAAATGTGTTGCCTTCAGAAGCAAATGAGGTACACCATGCACTGTGCTTCCTTCTTTGTGGTAGGGAATGCAATATGCAGTGATTTTATTTGAATTTAGAGGGATATTCAGGAATGGCCCTGGCCATTGGATCTCTAAGGACTTTATTGACATGTGTATCTCTGGATCTTCATAGGGTTTATTTCCCATCCTCTCTAGTGCATGTATCTTACCAAAATCTCTAGTGAGATAGCCATCTATCATTGCTTCTGCCCCATCCCCCAGGTGTCATGATGTTCTGTGGGGCATTCAGGTAGTCCACATATCCTCAAGCTATTTTAGGATGGAAGGCAGTAAAGTTCATTTAACCCTGAGGCAAAACTTCAGTTTAATATTGTTTTCTATCCTACTAAATACAAACCATTTCTGATCCTCTTGCTTGATTGGAATGGAAAAGAATGCATCTCCCAGGTCAATGGTTGTACCAAAGGCCTCACTAATTGGTTCTACCAAAGATACTATGTCTAGTATAGCACCTGCATTCAGGGTTACTATTTTTTTAATCCTGGTGTAGATTACAGTCATTCTCCAGGGGTTATCTAGTTTCTGCAGGGTCTAGGCTGGTGAATTAAATGGAGATATGATTAATAGCACTGCCTTGTGCCCTTGAGGTTTTTAATGGTGATACAAATTTCTGCCATCCACTTCAGAATGCAATATTATTTTTGATTGACAACCTCGGCTGACAGTGGTATTTTCAGAGTTTCCATTTGGTGCTCTCTGCTATGACAGGTCTTAGCCCATGGGCCAGAGACCCAATGTTAAGGCTAATCCAACTATCAAGTAGATCTGTTCCATCTGTGCACTTAGGAAACAGGGCAATGCCCACAGCATGTTAGTGGACCCAGCAGGACCACTAGGAGCTGGACATTAGCTACTACTTCACTTAGTGCCTGTCCCTGGGGGGCCACACTCTAACAGGAGACTGTGATTACACTGTGGGTACCCAAGAGTCCATGTCAACTCAGACCTGTGTCCAGTAGTCCTTGGACTGTCTGAGTCCTCCCCTTTCCCCAGTGATTAGCCACCTGAGTAAACGTCCATAGGTCCATTTGGGTAAGGACTACTTTTGTGGGTTGAATTGCGTCCCCTCCAAAAAGATCTGTTGAAGTCCTAAACCCATACCTCAGAATGTGACCCTATTTGGAAAAAGTTTTAACCACATGGAGATGAGGTCATTAGGGTGGATCCCACTCCAGTATGACTGGAGTCCTTATGAAAGGGTGAAATATGGATTGATTCTTGCTGTACGGAAGCCATGAGGATTCCTGAGACAATGCATGAGTACACTTTACATTGAAAATGTCGAATCTGAGCCACCCCCCCTTTCCACACCCAGGGCACACATTCGGATAGCATTTTCCCCCCAGAGGTACTGATTTAGCCCCTGAAACATTCTCAATACAGTGTAACAAGTGGTCTCTGAAATGAAATCTTATTCTCAAGCAAGACCTAGATACTGGCCTGGCCCTCTGTCTCCAGAAAACTCTTTGATGGGAGCCCTGAGGCATTTCAAGGGCTTATTAACCGGCAGCTAGGTTTAATGAGTATATTCTGTAACTTCCAGGTATTCTGTTAGGACACTGTTATCCAAACAGTGCATAACAAAACTTTGGTTCATTGGAAAGACATTCATTTCCTTGGGTTCTTTGCCAATTTTTGCTTTAGGGAAGTAGAGGGTGGAGGCTTTGGTCACCATGGTGAAGACAGCCAGGACAGTTGGATGTGCCTGCATAGAATGCAGTGGGTGTGGTTGTGGGAGTGGGTTCTGAAGGGTGTGTTGTTCAGTGGGGTGAGAGGGAAGGCATGCGCTTCTCTAAGAATCTCAAAGATAAAGAGAAAAGGGGGATAGATTTCTGTCTGCTCCTTTCTCTTTTACTATCCCAGCTAATCAGACTTGTGAGCAACTCTGGATGGAATGAAAATAAATTATCCTCAAAGCAGTCTGTGTTGGGGTCTACTGACCCCACATGTGCATGCAACACAATACATGCTCACAATACATGCAACACATACATCCTCATGCATGTACACACATGCATGCACAAGCACACACATGCACACACAAGCACACACATACACATATGTATCCCACCAATATTTTTAGCAGTGTTCATACAAGCAGTGTTGCAAAGAGGCTGGAAGCATTTCTATGTTCAGCAAAGCTCCAGGCTGTGCTGTGTATTAATAGCCTACTGGCCAACACATACACAGTGTTTTGTGATGACAGCATCTTATTGTTTTATTTGAGTTGTTTCTTTTCTTTTTGGCCAAGGGAGGAAATGGGCCACCTTCTCTTCCCTTTCTCCTTTCTCCCAATAACTGTCCACATGCACATTTCTCTATTTAACTCGTTGGTGTCCAGGAGAGAGAAATGTTGTAACTTTCTGGCATACTGTGTATGTCTTCTGTCTCTAATATCTGTTGACCTTGAAAAAGAATCCTACTTGCCTTTGACAGCCACAGGAAAATTTCTTTTCCTAGTGCTTTTATTCAGAAGCCTTGATCCTTCCTTCTGAGGAAGAATTTGTGCCATGGAGACTATAGTCGTTCTCCAGGATTTATCCAGTTTCTGCAGGGACAGAAGCTTGTTGTAGTCTGTCTTGTGTAGACTAGAAAGCCCATGCTAGTTACGTGGTTAACAATTGGGATTTGTACATTTTCCTTATATTTACTTTCCCCCTTTGCTCCTTGTATGACATATTCACATCCTCAATTTTTATTGATTATTTCAGATGAGAGCCCTTCTGTATATGTTGTGTGTGTGTGTGTTGAGAAAGGGAAAGGAAGGAAAAAGGGAGAGGAAGGCAAATACAGGGGAACAAAGACAGAGTTTGCACAACTCCTGCTGGGCCAGCAACCCCTGCCAGTGAATGAAAAAAAAAAAACTGAAAAGGACTTTCACTTTCTAAAGCAGTGGTTTCAATAAAGTACTATTTCACACCAGTCAGAATGGCTATTATTAAAAAGTGAAAAAATAACAGATGCTGGAGAGGTTGAGGAGAAAGGGAATACTTATAAACTGTTGGTGAGAATGCAAATTAATTCAGCTCCTGTGGAAAGCAGTTTGCAGATTTCTTAAAGATCTAAAATAGAATGAATATTAGACCCAGCAATCCCATTACTATGTATATACCCAAAAGAATATAAATCGTTCTACCAAAAAGATACTTGCACATGTATGTTCATCGCAGCACTATTTACAACAGTAAAGACATGTAATCAACCCTGGTGCCCATCAAATGTGGATTGGATTAAAAAATGTGGTACATATTTTCATACCACTTTTTTTTTTGGCCATGGAATACTATGCAGTCATAAAAAATAAGGAAATTATGTCCTTTGCAACACCATGGATGCAGTTGGCAGCCGTTATTCTAAGCAAACTAATGCAGAAACAGAAAACCAAATACCACATGCTCTCACTTATAAGTGGGATCTAAACACCGGGTACGTAAGGACATAAACATGGGAATAATAGACACCAGGGACTCCAAAAGGAAGGAGGGAGGGGGGGCAACGGAAGAAAACCTAACTCTCTGGTATTATGTTGGGTGACTGGATCATGAGAAGCACAAACCTTATCATAACGCAATATACCTATGTAACAAATCTGAACACATATATCCGTGAATCTAAAATAAATAAAGCAATGGTTTGGTGGAATAGGCTGGTGAGGCTCTTGGCCAGATTGTAGAGCTCTGGGGAGGGTAGAGCTGTCAGGACAAGAGGACCAAATATATAGAACTTGGAACCACACGATGAGAAATCTGCATTTAATTGGCAGTGAAGAGCAATGGAAAATATGTGTGCCAGGGAGCGCCAGGTGCAGGCTGACTAGCGAGGAGGGAGCCTGGGGCTGGGGAGGCGCACTGGGCTGCTGCTGGAGCCCTCCGGAGGGCGGAACTGCGGCGGGGGCTGTAGGAATGCCGTGGAGCTGACAGTGAGGAAGGACATTTCAGAGGTCTGTGACTCGCCACTGACCTGATCAGGAGTCCAGGAAGCGGGAGGAGGCAGAGATGGCTCCCAGCCAGGATCCGGAGGCCCAGGAGGGGCAGATCTTCCAGCCCGGAGGGTGAGGCCTGGAGTGGGCGGGGTTCCCAGCCAGGAGGTGAGGCCTGGAATGGGCGGGGCTCTTAGCCTGGAAGGGGAGGACTGGACGGGGCGGGGCTCCCAGCCAGTAATGGGAGACCTGGAGGGTGATGGAGCTTAAAAACGAAGCAGAAAGGCCAAGAGGAAGAGCTTCACTGGAGGAGGGTAAGTTTTGTTTCAGACTTGTGGGGCTGAAATTGTTGAAGAACACCTGGGAGAAAATGTCCAGTCACTGTCACTGCAAACGCGGGTCCAACCTTCAGAAGAGGGATTTGGACTGAGGATATGGGTAGGAGCACCCTCTCTTAGACAAGAAAAATTGAGACTAAGAGGAGGTGAGATCCCTGGGGGATCATAATTAAGTAAAAAATTCTATCCCTAAAATCCGTCCTGACATTTTCATTTATAGGATATACATATATATGTATCTGTTATAATCTGAAATGTGTTCCTCAAAATTCATATGTTGAAGCCCTAACCGCCTCATACCTCAGACTGTGACTGTATTTGGAGATGGGGCCTTTAAAAGGATAATTAAGGTAAAAGGAAGGCATTAGAATGCGCTTTAATCCAATATGTCAGGAGTCCTTACAGGAAGAGGAGATGAGGGCACAGACACCCACAGAGGGAAGATGGTGTGAGGACACAGGGAGAAGACGCCATCTGCAAGCCCAGGAGGGAGGCCTCAGGAGAAACCAGTCCCACCCACAACTGGATGTGGGGCTTCCAGCCCCCAGTGCTGCGGGGAAATAAAGCTCCATTGTGTAAGCTGCCCCATCTGTGGTGTTTTATTGTGGCAGCCCCAGGAACTAATACCGTATCCCTACCAATACATACGTATTTACTCACATGGAGCAACACACATGTGCATATATGTAATATTTTTGCCTAAAAAAAAGTAAGCCATGCCTAAAAGTATAGGCGGAGAGAAGGCTAAAAGAGACTGCTCGAAGAGACTGCCAAGGTACAAGAATCCAACAAAGACACATCATATCAACAGTGATGATTTCCTGAATAGGAAGGCTATTTGGATGGCTGGTTTATAGTTTTCATGCCCAAGGAGTTTTCCAAGGCCCAGCGTTTACCCTTTGCAGCAGCTCACTCTCCTGAAATGTGCTTTCATGTAAACAGGAAGGAGATACGGAGTACCTCTGCCTAGCACTACGTTAGAAGAATCCTCAGGCATTTCCATCTCATGCGATGATGAGAAAGCAGTAGTTGCTGGCAAACCTCGGCCAACTTCCAGTCTTGTCCTTTTGACAGGGGACTGCTGTCTTGAGTACCCGTCTCAGGCATCATATCCACCTTGGCCCTGCCTTGGGAGCCTGTAGATGTGGACAGAAAAGAGGGATGCTGCCTTCCTGGCTGGGCCTTTCTTGACACACAGGCATATGGACCCAAGCTCTAAAGGATGAAGACTCCATGGTTTCTGAAGTTTTCATTATTCTCCGCCTCCTAAAGCTCCACCTTGCAGGCAATGCACTGTAACAAAAGGACCAGCACAGTGCCCAGCACACAGAAAGCTATCAATCAATGTCAGCCTTAACCATTATGTTGGTTGACTTGCCATCCCTCTTCCTCATCTGCAAGCTATGTGAGAGCAAGATTCAAGTAACCTTGGTATTACACAATTCCATCGTGATGGGTTCAGTTACATTTGTCAAATGATTCAGAGTAGGACAACGGGAATTTTCTTGACAACATCACAGCATTGTAAAGTCTTTGCTTTGCACGGAAGTGTGGGACTGCAGCAATGATTGTGCAAGTTGAAACTGTGTGAAGCGATTTTAAGAAGTAACAAGAAAAATTATGATTGTTTCGTGATCTTCAAAAAATTTTTAAAATGTTAAGAACTGTTTTACTACTGGTTGTAAATGTACAAGAACATTTAAAAATACCAAAACGAATACTTATGTAGCATGCTACATAATTTAAAAAATTAGAAACATTGAGAAACAGTGTTTTATTTCTTTGTGAAAGACTTATGGAGAGTAAATTGAACAGGGCTTTGCCACCTTCTCGTTGTAAAACTTACAGTATGGACCAGGCATTTTTTCTATGCCTTGGTAAATTGTCACATTCCTTTCTATATTTGGATAGGCTTCCTGCATTTTGTCCTGCACACTTTCAGTGCTGTGAAATATCTCCAAGATTTTCTTTATTATGAAGTTTTTGCCAGCATCTTCATCCTGAGTCCCTCTCGCTGCACATCCAGAATCTCTCAAAAGACAACAGCATCAATGTTTCCACCATCAGCTCTTTCTTCTCTAAACTCATTTACGTCTGAGTCAACTTTCACCTCCTGCATTCTCACTTTTTGTTTCTTTGCTATACTTTCATCTTCATTGGCTACCTCCCTCTCTTGAGTATTCATTTCTGTAAAATGTCATGTGGGTTTGTCACTGGGAGCCAAGGAGGCAGCACGAGCACACGCTTTGCTGTGTGTGAACTGATAACACGGAAGGACTGAAGGATGTGATGAGGTTAATCACTGATCATGATGCACATCTGTTATTATGTGGTAGTCTGTGGACTGCAGAGCAAGCAGCAGAGGTTGTCCCCCATGCAATCACTCACAGTTAATGGTGACTGAAATTGGAACCATGTTGTGGTAGGGGACTGGTGTTATTTAACTTCAGTTGCCATGGGACAATGAAAATTCGTGCGTTTGGGACTATGCAAGGTGAGGACTGCCTGAATGTTCCATAATGTGATGAGTGCCTCACAAACAGGGCATATATTATCAATGAGTTTTTTCATTATTCTTGACCTTCAACATATAGACGTGCATGTTGATGGTATCAGGTTGTTTCTGCGTGAATGAGCTTTACTCCTCTGAGAAACGGCATTCCTGGCCCTCCTCCTTGAATCAATTGCACAAAAGTATCTGAAGGAAATTTGCTTACCTGCTGCTTTCGATGGAAGCTTTCCTGCAGCGTTACCCGGTGTCTGTTTCTGGCCGATGATTAACCATGGGGAACAAGCGTTTGGGATAAAGAAGTTGCAGAACTTTTAAGAGAATGTAATATGTTCATGTGCACTGGGACTCTCCTTGACCTATATCAAGTTTCCTGGATTCTGAAATGCTATAATTTTAGAAGTGTCATAACGTTAAAACAGCTTTCTAGGAAGTGCCTTTGTTGAAAGAATACCCAGGAATGGTGCACTGGACAGCTTTTGGACATGTCTTGCATTTTCTCAGAACTATCTCTCATCTTGGCCATGGCTTCAGTCACATCCTAAGTGACTCACCTCGGCTTGGGCTGCCTCCTACTGCAGTTCTAAACTCTGGTGGGGGACACGGGCATGACCCACCCAAGACTCATATGTGCTTAAGCTGGAAATAAGGAGCAGAGGGGCCAGGGGAAGGACCCAATGGCTAAATGTTCCTGCTTTTTTTCCCTCAGGCAGACAGTTCTAAGGTACATGCTGTAGGTTGCTTGGACTACCCTGGCAAGATCTTCTCCCAGAAATCCACCTTGGTGGCTGACTTATTAACTCATTGGCCTGTTGACTTTTGCTCCTTGCCTCACCCCTGCTCCCTGTGCCTTCTTTCTAATAAGCTACCTCCTGGTAAGGCTCTGCTTTGGGGGAAACCCAGACTGAGGCAGGTGGGATGTTGTAACCAGGGAGGCCTGAGTCCTGGGTCTTTGCCTGGGGCCCCCAAATAGGAGAGGGATTGGAGGTGGTATTGTGGGGGAGAATGGTGCAAAGCCCGAGGGAAAGGGGTGCTGTTACCACAGCAGAGGAGATGTGAACCTGCACAGACCAAAAACAGGAGAGAGACAGGGAAAGAGAAAGAGAAGGGGGAGAAAGAGAGAAAGGGAGAGAGAGAAAGAGGAAGGGAGAGAGAGATGGGGAAAGAGGAGAAGAGAAAGAGAGGGAGGGAGAGAAAGAAAAGAGATGGAGAGACAGAAAAGGGTGGGGAGAGAGATAAAGAGAGAGGGAAAGAGAGAGAGAGAACCATCTACTATACTACATGATTTCTTTTTTCTTTTCTTTTCTTTTTTTTTCTGAGGTGAAGTTTCGCTCTTGTTGCCCAGCCTGGAGTGCAGTGGCGTGATCTCGGCTCACTGCAACCTCCACCTCCTGGGTTCAAGCGATTCTCCTGCCTCAGCTTCCCAAGTAGCTGGGATTACAGGTGCCTGCCACCACGCCCAGCTAATTTTTGTATTTTTGGTAGAGACGGGGTTTCACCATGTTGGCCAGGCTGGTTTCGAACTCCTGACCTCAGGCGATCGGCCCACCTTGGCCTCCCAAAGTGCTGGGATTACAGGCGTGAGCCACCGTACCTGGCCGTAATTTTTTTTTTTAACCTATAAAAGCCTTGAGTAGTGATGGAAGTGATTCCTAGGAATGTGGTTTACTAAAGGGTCAGGCTGGAAGTTCACCACAAATACGCCACAGTAGTGTTTGGTACTCTCTCAATGTTCCACCCACCAGAGCATACAAAACAGCCACATTCTCCAAACACTTAATTCTCAAAACATACTTGTAGAGGAGGGAAGCCTATTACTCCCATTAGAAAGATGGAAAACCAAGGTGAAATGGTTAACTGAGCTAGCAGGTCCTCAAAAGAAAGTCACTGCTGAGTTTGGGATTGTGTTTTCAGCTTCCTGCCCACTGTGGGTGAGCTCCACCTTTTACTGGAACCAACTCCAAGGAGGAAGGTTTGCTGGGTTTCCTGGAAGGCAGAGGTTTGCATCTGCACGCCCTGCGTGGAGGCATTGTATTTGGCGGCAGGCAGGAGAATGCTGCAGCTGGTGTGCCCGCAGAAAGGGAGGGAGAGAAGCCACTGGGAGTGATCTGGGCTTGGGATCGGGTTGTGTCATCACCAACTGTCTGCCCAGGCATGAACTTGCCACTGCTGTGGAAGAGTCTGGCTGCGTCCAAGAATGCCCAAGGGTGTGGCTGAATTCACTTCTCAACAGACTTGGGTCATGTTCATATACTATTCTTTAAAAGATCACCATTTGTAGCAGAATGTCAAAAACCCAAACATGTTGCTCTCGGCATTGAGCTGTAACTTTTTTCTGTGTTGGTGGAAAAACATGAGAGAATTTGTTGCCACTCATGAATCTCAGTGACACACAGACAAAAAGCATGCTTCAATTTCGTGTCTTTGTTTTTGAGTGGTTCTGATTTATTTTCAGCTTTTGGGTGATGTCTGGGGCTGTTTACTGAGGACGGGATAAATGTGGGGGGAACCAAAATACATTTGGCATTTATTGATGGCGTTTTACATCTGTGACTTGATTTACTCCTTATCACAACCCAGTGAGACACATACTATTATCATCCTTTTGATAGATGAGCAGCCTGGAGCTTGGAGAGGTTAAGTAGCATGGACAGCATCAGGCAAGTTAAATGAGAAAGCCGCCACCCATTCCCAGCTGGGGCTGACCCCAGCGCCTGTGTTATTTCTGTTGCCCTGAGCCTCCCCAGGCTTCTTAACCCACATGCACGCCTAGCTTCCAGCACTGCTAATTTACACTGTGTACCAGCAGGAGACATTCTGGAGTGTAGACTGACGCAATAATCTCCAATCATAGGTTTGCCATGTTTTTTTTAATGTGTTTTTTCCTACTTTTTATTATAGATGTCAGAATTTTCTCCTTCCCTAAGAGTTATCTTTGGACTTAGATGTATATAAATTTATCTGGTTGGAGGTGGGGGGAAAAGTGGAAGTGGAAGACCACAAAAGTAAAAATTAAATTTGAGTGTATTTCACCGATTCTAAGAGGAACGCCTTCTCGTGCTCCAACCACTCTGAAATCTCTGGGTTCCGTACTCCCATGGCCGCTGTGTGACATGGTTGCCATGGCCTCTGTGCGAACATCAAAGCTTAGAGGATGGGTGTCAGAGGCTTAGATGAAAATCCCGAAGACAGTTGTGTGGCACTTTTAAAAGCAATACGGCCTCGCCAAAACCCTTCTGGAAGCTCTTGATGGCTCAAGGTTCAACAGTGTCTGGGAAGACACAGATATAAAAGATCCAGAATCAAAGAGTGATTCCAAAGAGTTAGAGTCTGACTGTGAAGTTTTAGGCATACGGTAACCCAGTGATTTACCTATCTTTCCTTTTCTGCACATGCAGAAGAGTGATGTATGATTAATACATTCTAAGTTCAATTAGGCCTAAAAGAGCTCTTGTAATATGCTTTAAAAAGCCTAAATGATAAGAAAGCAGTGTGACAGATAGAGTTCTGTCAGTGTTTATCTTTTCTTAGTCCTTCATTAAATAACAGTGTGTCTTACACCAAGGCAGTTTTGAATTCCATAAAATATGGTAGTAGTTATGTTTTATGTTTCAATAGTCATCAATCTGTTTCTAATGTATTCATGGAAAAATATGCGGGCCATCTTGCTATTTAACTATTTTTGAAATCTCATGGAAGCCTGCCAAAGTTTTTGCAATTTAGCTAAGAAGCTGTCTTGCTTTTTGAGAGGGGAAGTTCCAATATTGTAAGCCTGTGTTTCTGAATATATTTTTGTTTTTTGCTAATCTGGCATCTGTCTAGAGCAAAAGCAAAATAAATGAAAGGTGAGGAAAATTAAAAGGCTTGCATTATAACATGTGCTGTCTAGAGAATAAAAACTCGTTTGTGCACAGTTGGTATGGCTTTTATGAAAACACTTCAGTTCAAGCACCTTGTCTGTTTGCTCCAGTGCTGGCTGACTCATGATGACGGATCCGTGCTGCCTTTATTGCTCTTGGTTTGCCCCATGGCTTGATTTATTAATATATTTAAATATATAATTTTAACTTTATCATTGGTGTACAGGTGTATTTATTTATACTATCTTTGCTTTTAGAAAAACACTATTATATCATAAAAATATTTTAACCTTAAATTTCTTCCCACAGGCTTCAAGTTTTATGCAGTTCATATCTGGACATAAAGAGAAATCTATATACTGTGGCCTGAAGGGCACCGGCCTTTGGTTTTTGTCAAACGTTTCCAGATAACTAATGCCCCACATAAAACAGATCCATTCTTTCCATCCTGCACCTTTTTTTTTTTTTTGTATGGCCACTGCCGTGTAGTCATCCTGTCTGGACTGATAGTAGTTTCTAGGCTTGGAGGAAATTGCATTTTCACGAAAGCAGGATGCAGACATCCCCTAACTTAGAACACCTGCATTAAACCCAGCCTCCCACCTAAAAAGAGCTCCCTGAGCTGGGATTTAGTGGGATTTAGTGTCTTATTGGCCTCTCCTTCTGGCCTCTCCCACTCTCTCTGCCGAAACCAAGAGCTTCGGGGCTCCCCTCCCTGCCCACGTTGGCAGGGAGCCCAGGGCCCTCATTGCTCTCCCTCTCTCCTCTGCCGTCCAAGAACCCCTATAGCTCCAGGCCCTGGGCCAGCCATAGAGTTTACTTCGACTGTTGCAATACCTTGAAGGGAGAAGCATTTCAGCCTTTTTGATCAGTGGGGCTTCTACTTAAAATCCTTCCATGACACCCCATTATCTCAGGGTAACGTCCAGACTCCTAAAGTGGCTTCCAAAGTCCTTCATCATCTGATGGGCCTCTGTGTACTTCTCTCTCTTCTCTCTCCATTCCTGGCCCTCCTCATCAATTCTCCAGCCATTTTGAACTGGACTCAGTCTCCCCAGTGTGCCAGGCTTTCCCTGGCTTCCCGGCTCTGCGGGAGGATGAGAGTGGGCTCCACTGACTTTTGAGGGAATCCTGGAAACACAGCCACCTTAAGAGTCATGTTTTGACGGAAGTGACATTCCAAACCAACCTTTGCAACCAAGTCCTGTAAGCCAGAGCCTGCACAGGTTTTGTTAAAGGAATCACTTTGGGCCTGACGCTGAACTCCTTTCTGCTGTAAGACTCTTTTAGAACTTTGGAAGTTTCCATGCGGGGGGCTGATCCATTCTGTCCCTGCCTGGTTGGGCATGAGAAGTCACTTGGAATAGGCCTGGGTGAATGCTGATGAACTCCGACTTGGCTCTGGTACATAGTGCAAGTTCCCATGAGACTGCAGGGCAAGAACAGGGCAGGCTGCGCACCGTGGGGAGAGGCACACCTCGTTCCCATCAAGAGACACCTGGGCCCGGTGCAAGCACATTCTCTGTGGTTAACGGGTGTGAAATCGGCGTTTATCATCAGTGACTTTTCATTGTGTGGCTTCTGTGAGTTCCCACCTTCCTTCCAAACCTCAGCAGGACACTTTCCCTTCCCTGTAGTTCAAATATGCACCACAACCTCAGCTTGATCTCAAGCTTTCTATTGCCATGTAAATAATCAGGGGAGCCCTGGAATGGTGAGCTCCAGGGGTGGGTGGGTCAGGGCCACCCCCAGGGGTGCAGAGTCTGAGGGGGCTGAACCCCAGGCGGAGGGCGGGGGGTGCTCAAAAGCATTTTCATGCAGGTGAGAAAAGGAACATTTCCAGGGCATCTTGGCTGAAGCACAGAAGTGACTCCCAGAAGACCTGGCATGTGTGAGATGTAGGAGGGACACTCAATGCCTGCTTGTGCATGTGCATGAGTGTGTGTGTGCGTGTGTGTGTGTGTATGTGTGTACGTGTGGCGGGTATGATGAGCCTTGGGGCTCACTTTAGCATCTGCTGGTGAGCTTGCTGTGCCTGCTGACCATTTCCCAGGTCAGGCCTCCGCCCGTGATAACTACTGTTTACCAAGCACTTACTGGAGGTCAGTGACTCACATATGTGATCTCATTTCATTCTCCCAACAACCCTGACGTAAGGACTATTATCCCTGTTTAACACACGAGGAAATGGAGGTTTGAGAGCTTTGGCTACTTTTTCACATTCTGAAGCTACGTCCCTCCACAGCACGGAAAATGTTCTGCCGTTGTTCATCTCCTTGGGACCATGTGGAAACAGGGGACTGCTTCCCCTGGGGATCACAAAGGGCTTTTGCAGTAGAGAAAGGAGACTAAGAGCACCGTTCTAGACTTTTCTTTAGCATTCTTCAAGATGTACTATCAGAAGTTCAATAAAAACAGCCTAATGTTGAGATTCATGGATAGAAAACTGATTGAACTTTCTACCTTCCTACTAGCTTATTTTCTTCTTAACCATTTCTAAATTCATGGAGCCATGTTCCTCCTTGGCTTAGACATTTTTAATGCTGCTGTTGCTCTCAGGTTAAGGTCTGGACTCCTTGTGGCTCTCCAAATCCTTCAGAACGCTTCATTGAGCAGGCACAGTCATGTTCTGTAATTTAAAAGGTGGCAGTGGCTGGGCGCAGTGGCTCATGCCTGTAATCCCAGCACTTTGGGAAGCCGAGGTGGGCAGATCACCTGAAGTCCGGAGTTTGAGACCAGCCTGACCAACATGGAGAAATCCCGTCTCTATAAAAATACAAAATTAGCCAGGCGTGGTGGTGTATGCCTGTAATCCCAGCAACTTGCAAGGCTGAGGCAGGAGAATCACTTGAACCTGGGAGGCAGAGGTTGAGGTGAGCCGAGATCTCTCCATTGCACTCCAGCCTAGGCAACAAGAGCAAAACTCACTCTCAAAAAAAAAAAAAAAAAAAAAAAGGCAGTAATGCCATGTTAATTAAACATCTTTCAGAAAAGAGTCTATGAGATCGATGTTTGCAGGCTAAAGACAGGTGTTGCTGCCGGAAAGTGATTTGGTTTGAGGACTCAGGACTTGGGAACATCACTCTCACCTCAACAGAACCCGTTTTTCAGTTCCCTGCTGTTTCCTGCAGAAACTGGAGGAATGTGCTTGGCCTCGCTGGAGCTGGAATTGTCTAGCAGCTTGGCTTGCTTAATCCCCCTTTCCACACCTTCCTGCCACCCTGAGGGGGAGGCCTGATGGTGCATGGGCTTCTGCAGAAGGAATTTGCCCATTTCTGCTTCCGAAAATGTGCAGCTGCATTTTGCTGCTGGGAAAATATTTATTGAAGGTCTGGAAGAGTCTGACAACTTGTAAGGAACACACAGTTTTTTTATCTGCAGGATGAAGTTAGTTTCTGTTTGGGCCTGGTGTTTTTGAAAGGAGGAAATCACTTTCATAAGCATCAGATTAGATCCAGGAAGCATCCGCAGGACAATGAGAAGCTGATAGAGGCCGTCTCAGGATTTTGTCATTGGTTACTATCGCCACCTCCTGGCTGAAGTTGTGAACTACACAGCATGGGTTTCCAGGGTAAACTGCTTTAAGAAAAAGTAGCCCCCTTTTCCCCCATTTTTTGCAAGTTCTCTGTGGCACAAAAGGGAAACGAGAAGACTTATTGTTTAGAGAGAGTATTTATTGGCATATTTTATATTAACTGTGATGATAAAACAGACACAAGAATGAGAAATAAAATCAGAGTGGACTTTTCTCAACTGAGGCACTAGGGAAAATAATTCCCTGGGACAAGCCTGTGACTCAGTGTTAGCTTTGCCCAAAATAACTGTCAAAGCCCTTATCTGAGTTTCCAAGACCCCTGCCCACTCTTTAAAGCTGACCTCTTAGCATATTGAGGGAAATCTGCCAATCATTTTGGAAAATTAGTACAAAATTAAGGAATTAAAGTGAAAATTGCAATGTAAAAAATTGTTAGGTCTGAGGCATGTCTTTAGATTGTACAATGAAAAGGTGTAAGATTTGGTATCTCTCCTCTTCATTATTTTATATTGGTTTTATACATAAGCCATTACCCTGTAGAAATGTAAGTTCTAAGTTAGGAAAAGGATTATTTGTAACATACATGCAATACACATACATTGACAGAAGTAGAAACAGGCTTTTTCTGTCATTTAAGTTGTAGTTTTGGAGTAGATTGGTTTTTTGTTTGTTTGTTTGTTTGTTTTGGAGATGGAGTCTCGCCCTGTCGCCAGGCTGGAGTGCAGTGGTGTGATCTCTGCTCACTGCAATCTCCTCCTCCCAGGTTCAAGTGATTCTCCTGCCTCAGCCTCCCAAATAGCTGGGACTACAGGCGTGCACCACTACACCCAGCTACTTTTTGTGTTTTTGGTAGAGACAGGGTTTCACCATGTTGGTCAGGGTGGTCTCTATCTCCTGACCTCGTGATCCGTCCGTCTCAGCCTCCTAAAGTTCTGGGATTACAGATGTGAGCCACTGCGCCTGGTGGATTGTATATTTAAACTTTTATTTAGAGATGGGGTCTTGCTCCGTCAAGTAGGCTGGATGGAGTGCAGTGGCGTGATCATAACTTACTGCAGCCTTGACTTTCTAAGTCAAGCAACCCTATCCCATCAGCCTTTCCAGAGGACAGCAGCTGGGGCCTTCAGACAATTACATTCCCTGAGTTGGAGATCTGAGAGGCATCATTTCATGGCTACCACAGACACTGAGAGCAAATATTACATTTCTCATCCCCTCTTGAAGCTTGGGTCTTGCTGAATATTGTTTCCATAAAGCAAGCTGCCATATTGAAAGGGCCATGTAACGAGAAGCTGTGTGCAACCCCCAGCCAAGCAGCCAGGAGAGAACTGAGGCTTCAGTCTTCTCAGGTGGCCTACTGGCCAATATGCGTATGTACAAGTTGTATGTACAACTTCCAGGAAGGGTCCTGAAAAGAAGAGGGCTGTCACTTTCTTGCCTTCTCTTCTTTCTTGCTGGCTGGAACGTGATGGGATCACTGGATCTGAAACAGCCATTTTGGACTAAAAGGCAGAAGCCACAGGTGAAGGATGATGGAGTTACAAAATAAAAGAAGCCCAAGTCGCACTGATCATGGGCCACCATGAACTTTCCGGGTTCACTGGAGAGAGAAATACGCTTCTAACTTGTGTATGTCTCTGCTTGATTTTCTGTTGCTTATAACAGAACTTTATCCAA